ACGTAACTGCTGCATTAGAGCATGTCCAGGGCTGGCGACCTTAGCAACAGGGACCAACCTCCCGCCCAAGGTCTAAAGAACGATAAAGCCATGGACGTCCGTGGGCGGCTTCTCTGCCAACGCCAGACCCCCCGCTTCTCCCACCCCTGACCCGTCGCGCGAAGCGCGCCATGGGGGCGGCGTTCAGCGCTGGCGGACAAACCGTCCGCGGACGCTCAAAAGTTTGATAGGACGAGAAGGATGTAATGATATGATTGACTCAGGATACGTTCTGGGGTCCCAGAATTTCTGGTGGCCCTCGGCCACTTCCACTCGCTCATTCGTCCCTGTCTGCGCGGGACATACAGAGAACCTGGAAGCCTGGGAACGTGCCATTGTCATGATGTCTTGCTCATCTGTGTTCTATGTATGCTTCACGGACAGGGCATTGAGTAAGGAATCCAGGGTCTGGAAGCCGAGTGGAACACCATGTGGGGCTTGGCCATGGATACCGCCGCCACTCGCATCAGAGAAGGAATCATCCAGGGTCTGAAGCCTCCTGGGCACGTTCTTGAACGAACGACCTGACCGTATGTGGCTTCTGATTCTCCCCGGCCTCGTCGGCCCGCTCGCCAAGTGTCGACCAGCGTGGGGCGATCAGAGGCCGACGCTCGCCGGTGGCGTCGCCGGTCCGCTCGGAGAGGCGCCGTGGCGCTCACCAGTCGCGTCGGCGCGGGACGGCCAGCGCGCCCCTCCCTGGGGGGGGGGGGCGTATGGGGAGGACGGGCTCAGGGGGGGGGGGAGCGTCGACCTGGAAGCGTGGCAGCGAAGGCGCACGTTCGTGGGCAGGCTGGGGCACCCAGGGCCCGATCGGAGTGGGCGGTGGGTGTTGGTGCTCCCCCTTGGAGGCGGTCCCCCCCCTCCCCGTCGGCGCCCCCGACACCTCCTTTGGGCCACAAGCAGCGGGGCTTCCAGAAAAACCCTAGACGTCACGTGGGGGTGTGGGGGGAACGCCTGCGTACCCCCCTGCCCTCCGGGGAGCCGAGCTGCGAAGAGAAGCACGCCGCGGGGAGGAGGAGGAGGAGGAGGAGGAGGAGGAGGCGGAGGAGGAAGCGGAGGAGGAGGCGGAGGAGGAGGAGGAGGAGGATGAGGATTAGGAGGAGGAGGAGGAGGAGGAGGGAGGAGGAGGAGGAGGAGGAGGAGGAGGAGGAGGAGGATGAGGATGATGAGGAGGAGGAGGAGGAGGAGGAGGAGGACGAGGAGGAAGAAGAGCTGCGCGCCCAGAATCCGATAGGGTGGCCCGGTGCCTGCCTGGGGCAAAAGCGCTGGCGGCCTGCAGAGAGCAAGCGCTCCGCTCAGGTACAGTGGTCTGCGCCGGCCCGACATCGGCGACCCCGTCGGTCCCCGAGCAGCAGAGTGGGAGAATGCAGACAAAGCCTTGCGGTAAGGAGCCTCGCGTGAACAGCGACGGCCCCCCCCACCCTGGGCCCTGGTCGCGCCCGGACTTGCCCAGGAATTCCTGGCGAGGCGCCCGAGGAGTGGGCCCGAGGAGCCAGCCCGAGTCCTTCCCAAAACCAGAGAGGTCCTTATTCCAAGATTCTCTGGCTGCGTGTGCTCAATGCTCAATTTTTTGTCCGTCCTCTTCTGCCTCGCCGCTGCATCCACGGCGTGCCATCTGTGACCTGGATGCTGGCACGGCGCGCGGGCACAGTCCAATAACAAGTCGATGTGGGCATCCGCGGCCACGACCTCCGTGACTGCAGCCCCACACAGAGATGCGAAAGCACTCTACACAAGATCATATCGTAAACTGGGAAGGGGTCTTCGTGGAGATGTCTCGTGAGATCCTCTTGGTGCTACGGTGGGGAACTTTTGCTCAGCGTGTCGCGGCGGCGGCCCCAGCATCACGCCGTGCCCCGCGAGCGGGCAGCTTGCCGCTTCGCCTTGCTCGCGGGACGGGAGGCTGCGCAAGGCCTGGGACATTGACGCTCGGGAGTGGAGACGTGAACAGCGTGTCGCGCCGAAACCGATCTGATCATCCTCCTCTCCTGCAGCATTTAGGCCCGGCCGAACGGCCAGGAAAGACGCCAGCGGCACCCGTCATGGAAACTGATGCTTCCGCCCGCCTGCGCTGCTGGAGCTGCCGCCACTTCACCTTCGCCGGCCTTCCGCACAAGGCGAGAACGTCGACTTCTTGATCCCCCGGAGGGCGGGGCCGTCTTGACTCGGTCGCTGCGTGGACCCGCGGAGGTCTCGAGCCATGTACCGGGGCCAGCTTTGCATCCCGAGTCCTTTTCTGACGGTCCTGGGGCCCAGTGAGGGCCCCCCCAGGGGCCCAAACCTGGCTAACACCTGCCCGTCGCGATGTTTTTTGTGTTGTTTGGTTTGTTTTGTTTTGTTTTGTGTTGTGTTGTTGTTGCTGTTGTTGTTGTGGTTGTTGTTGTTGTTGTTGTTGTTGATGTTGTTGCTGTTGCTGTTGTTGTTGTTGCTGCTGCTGCTGTTGTTGTTGTTGTTGTGGTAGTTGTTGCTGTTGTTGTGGTTGTTGTTGCTGTTGCTGTTGTCGTTGCTGTTGCTGTTGCTGTTGTTGTTGTTGCTGCTGCTGCTGTTGTTATTGTTGATGCTGTTGTTGTTATTGCTGTTGTTGCTGTTGAACTCTCGTTTCTGAAGAATAATTATTGTTGATCCCCTCATCGGTGCATAATGCTTTTTCTCAATCAATGTGTGCCCCATCAACGCTCGCACCCTGTTTTTTGACAGGGGAAGTCTTGGTGCTCAAGCTGTGCCCCTGGCCCCCCAGATTACAGCAACAACGGCTCCCGCTTGAGACTTCCTCAAAATTTACTCGGGACCCCCGCTCCTGAGACTTCCTCACAATTTACTCAGGATCGGTGCTCCCGCCGGTGATTTCCTTGCAATTTAATCAGGACCCCCGCTCCGATCTGAGGCTTCCTCACAGTTTACTCAGGAACGGCGCTCCCGCTTGAGACTTCCTCGCGCTTGAATCAAGACTTCCTCGCAATTTAATCAAGACCCTCGCTCCCGCCAGAGAGCCCCTCACATTTTGTTCAAGAATTGCGCTCTCGCCTGTGACTTCCATGCAATTTATTCAGAAATCGCGCTTTCGACGCTCAGGAACCACGCTGCGCCAAGGACGCCGTTACAATCTACTTAGTAATCGCGTTCTCGCTATACTCAGGCATCCCGCTTGACTGTCTCACCCGCCCGACCCGCCCGTCAGGGGATCGCCAGCCCGTCGTGGGCTCCCGCCCGAAACTTCCTTCAGGAACGGCGCTTTCGCCTAGGACTTCCTCGGACGTCCACGCTCTTACCTACCTGCTCCTCCTCCCTCTCCCTCCTCCCTCCTCCCGCCTCTCCTCCCTTCTCTCTCCCTCCTCTCTTCCCTCATCCTTATGCCTGCCCTATCCCCTCTCCCTCCTCTCCCTCCTCCCTCCTCCCTTCTCCCTCCCCTCTCCTGCCTTCTCCCTCATTTTTTTTTTTTTTTTTTTTTTTTGTTTTTTTGTTTTTTTTGTTTTTTTTTTTTTTTTTGTTTTTTTTTTGTCTCTTTTTTTTGGTCTCTCTCTCTCTCTCTCTCTCTTCTCTCTCTCTCTCTCTCTCCCCTCTCTCTCTCTCTCTCTTTCTCTACCTCTTTTTTTTTTTTCTCTCTCTCTCTCTCTGCCTCTAATCAACCGCCCCCCTCTTCGCTCCTTCTCTCCTGGCGTTTTCCCTCTTCCTTCGTCCCTCCCCCTCCCTTCCTCCCACTCTCCCTCGTTCTCCCCCTCCTCGTTTTGCAAGGCCCACACCAATTCCAATGGCGGGCACATGTACGCCCACGAAGGATTGTCCGCCCGTTCCGGTTTGCCCGCCTATCTAAGCCCGCCGCCCCCCGCGAAGAGAAATAATCCCCCCAACGGGGGTGTGATCGAAGACAAGAAGGGCGGGTATCGAGGGTGTGGGGAACTCGTTTTGAATGACACGCGGGCAAGTAAGAGAGACCAGTCTTAGAATGATTGTTGCTGTTGTTGCTGTTGTGGTTGTTGCCGTTGCTGTTGCTGTTGCTGTTGCTGTTGTTGTTGTTGTTGTTGTTGTTGGTGCTGTTGTTGTTGTTGTTGTTGTTGTTGTTGTCTGTTTCACGACGCGAGAGACTTCTGGGCCGGCGGGGGGGCCCGCAGGAAAGCGGCTACCGCGCGCCCTGCCGAGGCGGGGGCCCGCCGCCACGGGCGAGGAGCAAAACGTTGGGTGGGGACCAGCTCACAGGGGGGCCGGTGCACCAGAGATACCGTGCCGATGCATCGGCGATAGGCCCCCGAGAGCACATCCGCGCGCGCCGTGGCGGGGTGTGGCTCAGGGCTGAACATAAACGGTGTTTTTCGTTTTCGTTTTGTCTTCGATGTCCCTCGTTTTGTCTTCAATCCACCTCTACCACAAAACGAAGTCGAAGCGAAAACGGCCCACGAAATCATCCAAACACCCTTCAGGTCCAGCCCTGGCGTGGCTCTCGGGCCCCCATCGGTGATGAGTGGGCGATTCGGGGTCGATGCGCCCCCCCCCCCCCCCTTGAGCCTATCCCCTCAAAACGTTGCGGGTTGGTTTTCGGGTCAGAGCTCGGCTCTCCAGCGGCCGTCCCGGAGGATCCTGGCACCCGCGGCACTCCCTCGGCGAGGCGCAGCTGATGGAAAGCATCCCGGGGGTCTGAGCCTGAGCCCATCCCCCCCTGCGCCCATCCCCCTCCAACGCTGCCCCTAAGCGGGGCAGCCTCATTCGAGTAGGGGAGCGACTACAGAATTGACTTGCTCCAACATTGACTCTACGAACAAAGACGTAGCATGTGGGTAGGTCGGCGGAACAGATGTCGTATCTTTCGTAGTCGATCCCCCACTCTAGGTAGCGCGCCCAGGGGGGAAGTGAGAAGGGGCGGGCCTTCTCAGACGGCTCGGAAGTTCCCCGGCCTTCTGAAAAGCTTTCGAAGCCTTCCCCGACGACACAGAAAACCCCTCAAAGGCCGAGGAAGAATTCTGAGAAGTCCCGCCGCCTTCTGAGAAAGCCTTCTCCTCCTCACTCCCCACCGGGCGCGCCGCCGGCAGGAGGGCGCGCACACCCCCTCTGGCCTCGGGATGGGCCCAGCCAGGGGCGGCGCGGACGTGCGCAGACCTCGTCGACCGAGGGCTGCGCCGAGCCTGGGGGCTCGCCCGTCGCTGCGCCCCGCCCCAGGAGCGCTGCGCCGGGCAAACCTTGAGCAAAGCTCGCAGCGTCGTGCACAGGGGCTCCTTCTGGTTAGATCGGGCGTGTCCCCCTACAGGGGGGTTTTGGACGAAACATGAAACATGGTCAAACAATATTCGAATAATGCTCCCAAGTAGTCAAACAAAAATCGTCCCCAGACTTTTTGGGGGGGCTATTTTTGATTCTCCCCCCGTAGAGGGACAGGCCCGACGTAACCTTTATGGGCAGGCGACAGACATCCCAGAGAAGTCCCCTCGCTCGCCGCCGACGCTCGATTCGTGGCACGCGCCCGCCGGCGGGCGCCAGGCTTAGGTCGGGCATGTCCCCCTACGGGGGGATTTTGGACGAGAAATAAAAAATTCGAAAAATACCCCCAAATGGCAACAAAAATGCTCAAAACATCGTCCCCAGACTATTTTTTGACTATTTCTGAACATTCCCCCTGTAGAGGGACAGGCCCGACCTAACGCCGGGCCCTGCCCCACTGGCGCGCGCCCCCCCCCCAAGGGCACGGCGGGGCCGCCGGAGGCGCGAGGCACGGCGGGGCCACCGGAGGGGCCCAGGGGCTGCCGAGCCGCCGCTGCTGGCCAGGGGCCCCCTCGGAGCGAGGAGGAGCAGCGCGTCTCCCGAGATGCCCCGGACTTGGCTGCCCCGATGCGCAACACGCAGGACGCAGCGTGTTGATACGGAGCCCAACACGCATCCTGAAAACGTGGGTCTGAGGCCATACTTTCGCCAAACCGTGGGCCAATACGTTGAGCCAACGCACAACGTATTGGCACGGGCGTCTTGAGCACGGTATGTGTTGCGTATCAAAACGTGCGTATCGAGGCAGCTAAGGCCCCAGAGCTCCTCCCCGAGATGCCCCCCGAGAGCCTTCCGAAGAGGCCCAGGAAGCATCCCCGAGGACTCTGGCCCACGCCAGCGTCGCCGCCAACGCCGCCGCCGCCGCCGCCATCGCCACCGCCACCGCCACCGCCGTCGTCGTCGTCGTCGTCGTCGTCGTCGTCGTCGTCGTCGTCGTCGTCGTCTCCCTTCACGGTCGGCGGCACTGGCCGTAAGGCCTTCGCAATGTCTTACGCGAGATGACACAGCGACCTTACGCGGTGGCTTACGCGGGCCGCCAGCGCGGCACGCTGCAGTGGAAACGAGGGCGCTTTCGCGCGACCTCACGCGGGGAGTTTATGCGCCAATGTCGGTGAAGATGACTCCGTTTTCTTACGTCGCCCATCTGGACCCAGAGACGAAGATGACATCGAGACTCTCTGAGATCCGGCGGCTCTGGAGGATGTCTCGGGCGCCGCGGCCTTCTCAGAGCGTGAGAGTGTCCCGGAACGCTTTGGAATGGATTCATCCTCGTCTTATCCCCTTCCAATACGCCCCGCCCCACTGGCTTGGCCAGGGGGGCATGTGCTGGGTGTGGTGTTGGAGAGGTGGGCGGCAGCGACGGGCGGTGGGCGGGTTCGGGCTTCTGATGCAACTCTTAAGGGGGCCGTCTTTCAGGCAGAGGTTCCAGTACCCTGAGGTCTTGGCGGCGCGATTTTTTCACAACGGGCGATTTTTCCTTGTTTCGGGCTGAGGGGCCCTCACGGATCGATCCGGCTCAGGAACTGCCGCAGTAAGATTGGGTCTAGGGCACCAGTCGTGATCGTTTACGATGTTGAGGTCTTCGTAAGATCGATTTGAATCAATTCAGTCCGCTTGAAGGGCCATTGGGCCGGATTAGCCCAGAGCCAGCGCAGGCCTGGCTTAAACGGGACTGACCGGTACTGGGCGGGGCTATGCCCGATTAGGCCGTCTTCCGACCTCGGATCTGCCAGCGCCGATGCCGACCTTCACCTCCCTCGGCGGTGGACAAGCCTCCCTTTAGCAAAACCTCCCCTTAGTGAAAACGGCCCGGGACCGAAACCGACGGACCTGGACCCGCAGAAGTGACGGCCGCGACCCCCTCTCGCGAACCGAAAACGGCCAATTCCTTCGTCGACCTGCCAGGGCAGGAGGTCTGCCCACCTCCGACAAGACCTGCCTCCCAAGACGCTTGCCGAGGCGCGGGCTCACGCCGGGGGCAGCAGGGGCGCGAGCCCCGGCCCCGCCGGCGCGCGCCTGGAGCGGCACCGCTCGCAGCAGGCCGGCAGCCGGAGGAGCAGCGGGGCCGCCAGGAGGCCCAGGAGGCCGCCGCACGCGGCGCTGGCAAGCAGCAGCTCCCACGCGGGCCACCGGACCGCCCAGGAGGAGACGACGTGGGGCGGCAGCAGCGGCGCCGTGCGCGGGCGCCCCGCGTCCGCCTCCAAGAGCGCCCGCGCGTGCTGCGAGGGGGGCCGGTGGTCCGCGCGGCTCTTGAGCCCCACGGAGGCGTTGCCCGCGTCGAAGTGCGCCACGACGGTGCGCAGGAACGTGTCCCCGAGGATGAGCGGCAGCGCGCCGCTGCCGGGCTGCACTTCCAGGTCGCACCAGGCCGCGCCGTCGGCCCCCAAGACGCCCGTGACCTCGCGGAAGAGGTCCTCGGGGAACAAGGGGAACCTGCTCTCGCCGACCAGGATGTATACCACCTGCGCCGAGTGGCGGAAGTCGCAGGGGCATCCCCACTGGCCGAGGCCGCTCTGGCGACACTCATCGAGCTGTTCGGGGGGAAGCAGCTGGCGCATGAGCGCCCGAAAGTACGTGGAGGGCAACAGGATGTACGAGGTCCCCGTGTCCAGAGCCAGGTAGCTCCTGTCGCACAAAGACGTGCTGCCAATGGCAATGGACCCCTCGAGCGTCCACCACTCCTGCTGAACCACTGGCGCGTACACGAGGCCCTCGCGAATCTGGTGGCCAGGCTCGCCGAAAATTATTCTGGAGTCCTGGCCCTCGCTCTCGATCAGGACGGTGAAGGCGTGCACGCCAGCCTGAGCCCCGAGCTGCGCCAGCGGCGTCGTGCCCGTGTGGCTCAGGCGAGGGAATGCCAGCCCGAGCACCCCGTCGAAGTACCGGTTGTCCATCTGGCCGATCTCACTGGCGAGGACGAACTCCTGCGCAGGCACCACGCAACCCCCGATGTCGAGACGGTCTGTCACGACCGGGCCCTGCACGACTCCGATGGCGTACTTTATCCTGGCGGAGCGCTGGCTCCCGACCCCTGACGTGATGGACCTGCTCGGGTGGAAGGGCGCCACCCAGAGGTCCGAGGAGCCGGTGTCGAAGACCACCGCGACCCGCTGCTCTGGGGTGCCCAGGCCGATGTCCCCGAAGCCAGAAGAGCAAAGACTGGCACGAGCATAAACTTCGGGAGCTGCGCGCGGGCACCCGAGCTTTTATGCTCATGCCATCTCTCCAGACCCCCGACGACATGCTCGTTTCGTGACGTGGCCCTCCCGAGGTCTCGACCCATTCCCTGGGACCGGCTCTTCGTCCCGAATCGTTTGTTGGCGGTCTGGGGGCCCGAGGAGGGCCGAAAATGGCTCATGGCATCCTGTCGTTTTGCACGACGCAGCGGGGGGCCTGGGAATTTCGCTCTCCGAGAAGTACTGGACGTTGGCCACGTCGCGCAGGGGCTCGATGGCCAGGCACTGCCGCGGGGGGTCACCACCAGGGGGGGCCAGCACCTCCTCGAGGCAGCGGCCCGCCCAGGACCCCCCCGCGACCCCCCCCGAGGGCTCCCAGAAAGGCGCCCCAAAACGCCCAGATTCCCTCGACCCTCGATCCTCCCTCCTCCTCCATCTTCGATCTCCCAGCCCAGACCACCGACGTCATGATTTTGTCCATGGCGTCGACGCCCAAGAACGTCTCGACCCCTGCCCAGGGACCGGCTTCCATCCCGAGCCGTCTTTGACGGTGCCCAGGCCCGGCGAGGGCCCCCAAAGGCCGAAAACTGTCAAAAACCTCCCGTCGTGTTTTTTCCATGGCCCGAGGGGGTCCGAGTAGATGGGGTCGGAGGATCGCGCCGCATCGCCAATGCATCGGCGCCGTTGGCATTGAGAAAACTGGACTCCACATCGAACCGCATCGCCGATGCATCGGCGATGCGGCGCGATCCTCCGATCCCGCCTGCTCGGACTCCACCTGGGAGGCCCAGAACCCCTCGATCTCCAAGAGCATCCGGCGACCCCACCCCCAGTGGTGAGCCCCCCTCCCAGACACCTGGCGTCCTGATTTCTTCGAGACACGGGCTCTTGACCTCTCGACCACTTCCCCGGGACCGCTCTTTTTCGTCTCGGGCAGTGCTGCGACGCTCCCGCGGCCCAGTATCAGGGCCCCGAGAGGCCGACAACGAGGACGAGCCTCTCCGCCTCTGTTCTTGCTTTCGCTTTCTTTTTTCGAGACGCTGGAGCCCTGGGCTTGGCACTGCCCGCGATGGCGCCCTCGCCGCCCGCGAGGCTCAGGGCCGCCGGCGGCCCCGCCCGCGCGGCCTGCCGCCGCACCCGCCGCAGCAGCACCTCGCCGGCCGCCGCGGCGCCCAGGCGGCCTCGCCCGGCCGCGGCCGCCGGCGCGGCGAGCAGCGCTGCCGCCCACAGCGAGCGGCGGAGAGCCGAGGCGCCCATCGCCCGAGGACGCCCCACAAACCAAACCCTGAGATCCTGGCGTTGCGTCTGTTGTCACAGCGGGCGCTTTCGCTCAGTGTCGGGTCCCGGGGCCCTCACAAAAAGCGATCCGGCTCGGAAAATGACGCAGGAAGGTGGGGTCCGGGGCTCCGGTCGTGGTATTTTCTGCGAGGCTACAGCTTTGTTGCGACGTCGGATCTCAGGGAAGGTCCCCCCCCCCCGAAGAAGCTGCAGGGTGTCCCCCAGAGAGGCTCTCCGAAGCTCCAGGGGGCACCAGGGGCTCTCCACTTCCACTCGCTCTTGGAGGCGAGAGCTCGAGACCTCGGAGGAGCTCGGAGGCGCCAGTCATGCGCTCGAGAGCAGGCGGGGGGGCGGCAGGACTCGTGGCGCTGGCTTCGCGTGTGCAGGGGGGGAGAGTGGGAGGGCAGAACATCCACACTCAGCACAAGCACCCGGACCAGAGGAGCTCCCAGGAAGCGCGCCCGAGGAAGGAATCGAGCAGGACAGGACTGTGTAGTAGACGTCCAGGGCTTCTTAGCAAACGCCAGTTGTGGGTGTCTTGGTGGTCCTTCCCCCCCTTGAGAAAGAGGGCGCAGAACGGGGGTGGAGGCACGGCGACAGCCACTGACAGGGACAAACGGAACAGTGCCCTGGCTTTTGCACGAGGGCGCCGCGGCCCAGGGAGATGACGAGGCCAGGGAGGCCAGGTGCGAGCCATGAGCGTACGAGCGAACAAACCACGAGCGAAAACAGACCACAAGCGACACCACATGCGTGATGTGTAGGAGAGGGGGCCGCAAACGTGCTTCGTATAACGCAGTGACAGGCGACGGGCAGAGAGAGAGGGAGAGAAAGACGGAAGGAGACAGGAAGGCAACGAGACAGCCTGTGGGAGTCCGGCCGTTTTGTTGCTGAGCTCCGACTTCTGCGGAATCATTGCTGTTGATCCCGATCCTCCTCCCGTGCCCATTCTGTTTTTCCATTGAAGTGCCCCCACCCCCAGCGTTCGCACCTGGTTGTTCATGAAATAGAATCTGGAAGCTCAAGCTGCACCCCTGCCCTCCCTCCCACTACAGCAACAGCGGCTCCCGCTTGATGCGTTCGCGCAATGAATTCATCAATCACGCTCTCGCTCGGCGACTTACCTTCAATTTTCGCAAGAATCTAGCTCTCGCCAGGGAGATCCTGATCATTTATTCCTGATCATTTATTCAGGAATCACGCCTTCGCTGCTCAGGAATCGCGCTCTCGCTCAAGACCTCCTCACACTGCGCTCAAGAATCGTGCTCTCGCCTGGAAGCTTCTGAATTGCTACGAATTGTCCAGGATAGGTGCCCTCGCCGCTCCTATACCACGTCATGAGGTACTGGGCGGTGATGTGCTGTGCTTTGCTTCGTACTACAATGCTTTGCCCTGCTGACGTATGCCTTCAGGGCTCAGTTTGTCCTCTCAGAACGGGCAGCGGAAAAATGAGAGAGTTCTGCAGGGTGGCTGAAACCACCAAGCGGACTTTTTTCTCTAACCAGCCGCGATGGTGCGAACCGGGCAGAACAAAACTGGCACCTGCTGCAGCATGCGGCGCTTCTACGGAGGCCTGCACGCAAGGGAAATGGCCCTGCAGCTTGCTCGAAATGTATCAACAGCCAGCCTCCAAAAAATCAGCGAGACACAAGCACTGCTTCTGACTTGTCCTAACATCTTAAACAATAGCCCAGCACGAAAACCATCAAGACAGCAGCGGAGACCGAAATATTGGCGTTTCTTTCGGTGATAGACCGCCGCTGGCAAGAGTGATGAGGGATCGGATCACGGTGATGCCCTGCAAGCGCTCCAACCGATGTCACCGCTTCTTCCGCGGCGGCCTTCAAAGAAAAGAGTTGTGAGCACTAACCATGCCTGCTGTAAACGCCCGCCGCAGCAGGGCGGCACGATGGAGGGGGATATGGGGGATTGCACATGAAAAGCTGAGCCCGCTGCCGACAAGACAGACTACTTCTGCTTCAAGCTGCGTTGCTGCAATATAACCACGGTGTGTCTCTGCACGCCCGTGCCTCCACGGCTGCCTGTGGCTGCGACAGCGACTTTTCCACACCCGCCGCAGAGAGTGAGGACGGAAGGAGAAGCGGGAAAGTGAGATGACCGGTGCGCCCCAAGCACTAGGGTGCCTGCTGCTGAAGCGCCCGCCTCATCCACAGCGACCGGCAGACAGGGATAGACTCCGCCACGCCTATTGCAATGGGGGCCTGCGGCAGAGGTGGACCAGGCCCGCCACACTGCCTGGTCTACGGGGGCCGAAAACAAGCTTGCAGGTCGCGCGGCGGAGGGGGTCCTGTCGGGTATAGCCGGCGGGGGGGTCGCAGGCGGACCACCTCCTGTGGAGGAAGGGGAGGCGGGGGGGGAGGCGGGGCCGCAATGTAACGAGAGGAGGTGGAGGAGGAGCAGGGGGAGGAGGAGGAGGAGGAGGAGGAGCAGGAGGAGGAGGAGGAGCAGGAGGAGGAGGAGCAGGAGGAGGAGGAGCAGGAGGAGGAGCAGGAGGAGGAACAAGAACAGTGGTGTGCATTGGAGACTGAATACGGGTTCTCTCTCGGCAGCCGAGAGCAGAGAACGTCTACGATACTTCGCAAATCACATCAATCACGAATCCAACCAGCCCTCTGGGCTAAGTGGTGCAACGGATCAGCTCTTCTCGAAGAACCCTTCCTCCCCCTCTGGGGAAGGCAATCGCTACCCCCCACTCGCCGGGAGTCTGGACAAAGGGGGTCTCTTAGGTGGCCCGTGAGCCTATGCCCATATGCTCAAATCATAAAAAAAACGACGCTTTCATATTCAATGTTCTGCCTTCTTGCACTTTTGGGTGCCGCTGGCCCTCTCCGACCTCAAGGTGGCCAAAGCCGGTCCCAAGGAAGCCCAGAGGGGCCCCAAGGGCTCCCATGGGCCCCCCACGAGAGCCCCAATGGGAGCCTCACGATGTTTTCCAGGCTCCAACAAGTATACACAAGTAAGGCAATACTCATCAAACGCCTCCGTCTGTTGCTGGTGGATGGCCTCCGCCATGGCACCAAGAGGCCCGACCGACTTCCAGATACTTAATCTTTTGGGGTCCTGCTCTCTGCGGGCCGTCCTGTTAGGTCTGACGCCTTCTCGGCGAACCTTTGCGTGATGAAAAGGTGGTGGGCGAACTGGGATCCAATCTGGCTCCGGAGGAAACGATATGGCGTGGGATCCTGGAGGCCACTCTCCCGGTCTGGAGGCGGGGCTGCAGAGACGGAGCCTCGCGCAGGCCCCAGAGAACTTACGACTCCCAGAAGGACGCCAAGAGATGCCCAAGACTGCCTAACGGTCCAAGAGGCCTCCAAGAAGCTCGCAAGGTTCCCGAGCCTCGACCATTCTTGAGGACCGCCGGAGTGGTGCCCCCTCTCCAGGGAGACACAAGCAAGCAGACATGACTTTCAACATTCCCCCCAAAGAAAAGGCCCATATTTCTGAAAGAGCGTGTTCTACCGCTGCTGGCGGAAAACCGGGGGGGTCACTACCGGTTCGAACCCCCCCTCCCCCTCCTCCCCCTCTGGAAAACCGGGGGGGGGGGTCACCACCGGTTCGAACCCCTCCCCCCCCCTCCGCTCCCCACAGTCCATCATGAAAAGGGGGGGGGGTCACTACCGGTTCGAACCCCCCCCCCCTCTCGAAAACCGGGGGGGGGTCACTACCGGTTCGAACCCCTCCCCCCCCCCTCGAAAACTGGGGGGGGGGGGCGGACAGTGGTGGGGACAGTGGTGAGGGGACAGCGGGACAGTGGAGGGGACAGTGGGACAGTGGTGGGGACGGTAGTGGTGGGGACAGTGGTGAGGACAATGGTGGGAACAGTGGGGACAGTGGGACAGTGGTGGGGACGGTGGTGGTGGGGACAGTGGTGAAGGCGGTGGCGAGGACGGCGGTGGGACAATGGGATAAAGATACAGTGGGGACAGTGGTGGGGACAGTGGGGACAGTGGTGAGAACAGTGGGACAGCTCAGTGGGACAGCGGAGGAGTCAGTGGGACAGTGGGGACAGTGGGGATAGTCGGGCAGTGGTTGGAGCCGTGGAGAAAGTGGGGGAAGTGGAACCGTGGTGGGAACAGTGGTGGGGACAGTGGGGACAGTGCGACATGTGGTGGGGGCACTGGTGGGGACAGTAGGGACGGTGGTGGAACCAGTGGGGACAGCGGTGGTGAGGACAGTGGTCCTGGGAACAACAGTGGGGGATGTGGTGCGGACGGTGGTAGGGACCGGGAGTCGTTTGCTGGCAGTGAGGGGGGGGGAGGGGTTCGAACCGGGTGAGTGACCCCCCCTCCGGTTTTCGAGGGGGGGGGGGGTTCGAACCGGTAGTGAGGGGGGGGGGGGCCCTTACACGAGGGGTTAGGGGAGGGGGGTGTTTTGCCGGGGGAGGGGAGACGGGGGGGGGGTTCTTCCAGCAGGGGTGGGTGGGGGATTTTCGGAGGAGTGGGGGACCCCCGGGTTCCCGAGGAAGAGGGGGGGAATTTTCCACAGTAAAGCGGCGGTGGAGCACGCTCTCTCATATTTCTGGATGTTCGTCTTCCGCTCCGCTTCCCACATTTTCCAACCTTTTCGTTGGTCTCGACTCTTATCTATGTCCGTGTCTTGTTTCCCCCTCCTGACCTTCGTCTCGCGACTGTTCTCCAGCTTACCTTCTCGCTCCAGCTCGCCCGGGACTGCTTCTGGACGGCATGGTGGCGACACACGCAGCGCCACCAATCCACGCAGACTGCACGCGCAGCGGCTGTGCGCGGCGCCAGTCCAGTCCGCCTCGGGATGATAGCTGCAAGCTGCAGGCAAGCGAAAATAATGCCCACAATGTTGTTGCCATTCGATGGCGACAAGAAGTGCAGTCCAGCCAGTTTCGTGCCGGGTTGCTCAGAAGTGGCTGGGGAGGGAGGAGGACGATGGGGCAGGCTCACAAACACATGAAACGAGGGTGAATTTCTGGTGTTCCGAATCCTCGCACCTGCGCTGCAACGCAGGGGCGGGCTTTCTGGGCACGGCTCTGGGTGCAGTGTGCAATTCGTCTGGACGCGGTAGTCTGAAAGCCTGCGGCAGACCTCGAACTCCCGCTCTGCGCAAGCCAGGCGATACGTAATCGGGGCCCTCACTGCCCTGGATATCGTGGTCATCGCGACCTCGACATCGCGTTCACGGAGGAACCAAGAAACGGCATACGCATAATTTCTCGGAGGTCCGCGCGGACTTCTTGGCTTGGCGCTGGGACCCTCCTCCCCGGCGCGCGGAGCGCGCCAGGGGCGGCGTCGGAAGCGCTGCCAGAGGGGCCCAGCTCCGATCCGAGAAATCCGCGTGGACCTCCGATACGTGATGCTCATGCCCTTGTCCTTCTCGATGGCACTCTGCCGTCCACCGCCGCCGGCACAGCGATCTGCATGCCGCCCACCGCGCGACGGCGCCCTCCCGCACAAACTTTTCCGCCCGCGCAGCTGCCGTGCACGCCGCCCGCCCAGGCCTCCGGGACCCTGGCCTGCAGCCTCGCGGCGGCCCGCACGGCGCAGCTGCCGCGGAAGCGGAGCTCCGAGCGCAGCGTCGTCCTCCACGCAGCGGCTGCCACCCGCGCCCGCCCTGCCCCTGGGCTCCGGGCCCCTGTGCAGGCTCCCGAGCGTGCTGCCGAACATCTGCCTCGACCGCCAGCAGCGCGCCGTGCCCGGTGCAGCGTCGCCCTGCTCCTCCCCACCGGCTACACGCAGGAGTGGTCCCAGGCAAGAAGTGGCCTTTGGTGGGCGGCTTGCTCGCCATGGCTCGGACGTCCATTCCCTGTGCCTTTTTTTTCTGGTTTCGTGCGTGGATCTTTTTCGCAAGGGGGGGCATCAATGCTCCTCGATGGTCCCCGCCGAGACAACAAAGGCACACGTCCGAGCGATGCCGATCCTGAAGGGGTGCCTATGGGTAGGCCAAATCTGAAGTGGCCCAGGGACAGACAAATAAACAGACACAAATAACAGGATTCCCCATATCTTTCCATATCTTCTGGGTTTTTGTCTCCCCCCCCACTTCCCATATTTTCCCACCTTTTCCTTAGAGTCGACGATTCATTGTGTCTGTGTGTTTTTCCCTCGCCTGCAAGTCCAAGCTCGCAGGCCCATGCTTGGGGGGGGGGGACACCCGTGGGCCCGCCGCCCACGGGGCACTCCGGCGAAAACGGCCACCCGTGCGCGCAGCCGACCTCTCTCCCGCCGCGGAGGCACCGCTCCCGGCGCGGCGCGGCGCTCCTCCGCGGACCCTGCAGAGGGCGGAGCTGCACGCCGCCGCGGCCGCTGGCAGCTCTGGGGGTGCGGCGCGGACTCCCCCTCCCCCGGGCAGGACCCTGCGGAGGCCGGGCTGCACGTTCGCGCGGCGGAGCAGCTCATGCCGCAGTCCCCTGCGGCTGGTGTCGCTCGAGGTGCCCCTGCGGTCCTTGGTCTCCGCCTTCGGCTCCCCAGCGCCCCGCGCGCCGGCCTGGAGGCGCAGCGCCGCGCGCAGCGTTGGCCTCCACAAGACACGGCGGCCTAGTCTGTCCAGTGTTAGGTCGGGCATGTCCTCGTACGGGCGGATTTTGGAAGACAAATAGAAAAACGTCGAAGCATTGACCAGAAAGAGTAAACAAAAAACACGACAAATCGTCACCAGACTATTACTTTGTTGTATTCTTGAGTAGTCCTCCTGTAGAGGGACATGCCCGACGTAAGTCCAGTGCTCTCCGGCCGCTGACAGCTCCTGAGACCTGCACGCCGCAGGCAGAGGTTCGGCGCGAGGTGCATTACCAACTTCATCTGGACGCCGAACGGCAGGTTCCTGTCGTTACGACCTCGACATTGGTTCCTGACACCGCGTGTTGATCGTTCAACCTTGAACGATCGGCAACTTTTCGATCGCCAGATTGTTCCACACTGGCCAATGCTGGGCCACTGGCGGTTCAACCTTGACCGCTCACGGCGAAGTCGCCGCCGCGTCGACACGACGCGAACCTGCCGTAGCAAAATGCTCTCCTTGTTTGGGGTGGCGGGCGTCGCCCCCCCGATAATCCGGCTGCGACGGGAATACAGTGCCGCGGGCGACGGTGGCGTCCTCTGTGATGGTGTGACGAAAGCGCTACTGCCCTCCCTGTCCATGGTCGTGGCTCTGAATATCTGCATGCCGCCGCAGCTGCACCGCACCGGGTGCACCGTCGGCTGCCGCAAGAACTTGTCATCCGGCGTGCCCTCCCTTCTCGGAGTCTCGGCCGTCGGCTGGCAGCATGTCCGAAAGCGGCCGCCGATGTGCTGTACTGCGTGCCTCGCCGACTCCCTCGGGAAGAGGCCGTCCGAGCTGTCGTCCGTGCCATGCGTCTTGGCCTCCGGACCCACGACGGCCCGCGGCGCCGCCCTGGGATGCGCAGAGTCGGGAGCAGCGCCGAGCTCTCCTGGATGCGACGGTCCAAGACGCCCCTCTTGCCCCGAATCTCGTCGGGCTGCAGGTGTAGAGGAACAGAGAGCGGCACAAACATCACGTCTCGGAGGTCCGCGCGGATTTCTTGGATCTGCGCTGGGACCCCCCGCACTGTCGCGCGGGGCGCGCCAGGGGCGGCACCTGCACGACGCCTCTTTGCGCGCTTGCGGCTGCTGCTCCTGCTTCGGGGGAGGGCCAGTTGAGACAACGGCGGCCCTCCGACCCGACGGCGTCCGAACGCACCAGCTTTCAGAGCTGGGCTCCACCGTGGCGATGGGGCGGCCCGCCGACGGCCAACAGGCGACCCCGTGTCTCAACAGAGCGACGATCAGAATCGCGTCTTGCGAGAGAAAACGTAGGCGACCTTACGCCGCAGCTGACGCGGACAGCTTGCGCGCAAATGTCGGCACAGTCAAACCTATTTTCCTGCGTCGCTCGACTGTCCCTCCTCCGACTGCTCTCGCTGGCGGCGCGGAGCCGCGCCGCCACCGCTGGCGAGTGGCGGCGGCCATCCGCGCGGCCATGTGGCCCAGGGCGCCGCGCCGTATGGTCGCCTCCATCACTCACCCGGCGATCGCTGCGCGCAGCCCCCTGGGAGGGCGCCAACTGTGCACATACACTACTCCTGGCCAAGCCCATCCTGGGCCCAGGATCGGTGCACACGCCCTCCTGGCCTGGGCAGGAAGGCGTACACGTCAAGCTCTAGCCCAAACTCGGCCTGGCCAGAAGCTGTGCAGGCGTACAGCTCTGAGTATTTTCTTAGGGTGGAGGGCTGAGGGTGGAATCCCGATGAGCTGTAGCACCTCGAACATCAAGCCTTCTTGTGGGTGGGTTGCTTTCAGGATGAAAGTTGTGTTATGTAGCGGCCTGTGTATATGCAGCGCCTGGCTTCGCTACGACGTCACGATTGCGCCCGCACGTGGTCAAGCACCGTTGATGGCTCGCACCCGGCAATCTTTCAAACAAGGCTTTGCCGCCCCGCTGATGTCAAACGCGGGTTGTTCGTGCCTCGACGAAACCACGTTCAGCGCATCTGCGAATGCCAGGCGGGCGCGAACTCTCTCGATATGTTGAAACATGATTTCCCTCTGTTGCTGGCGCCCCGTCCCTGATTGGCTCGTTGGTTGTTAGGCTGGCGGATGGACTGTTGGGCTGGATGGTTGGATGGGTGGCTGGTTGGGTGGCTGGCTGACTCAGTGGGCCGCCGAGCACGCGACTGGAGCCAGACAGGTGAACGGGCACGCGACCGGCCTGGCGCGCGGCAGGTGTGCGAGCACGCGACTGGCACCGACTGGCGCCCGACAGGTCAATCCAGAACTCTAGGATGTGTTTTTTTTTTCCGTTCTAGAACTCACCTCGTCGTTCTAGAATTGTTGCCCTTCTAGAATTTGTTTTTGTTTGCGCCTTGTACGATGTGGAATCCCACCAGCCCTTTGGGCGTGAGTGGTTTAGGGAGCTTTCTCTGTCCTCAACCCCCCAACCCCCCTTCTTCCCCTTCGGGGAGGGGTTTACCCCTCCCCCTCCCCCCTCCCCCTGGACCTGGACAGGGAGTCCGGGGTGTGCTCAGGGGGGGTCTTTTTCGACTCCTGGGAGGGCTAAAAAACGACGACCCTCACGAGGATTCTGGCACCGAGGGAGGGGACGGAGTTTGGCCCCTCTGCTCTTCTTTGAAGCCAGAATCATTGATTTTACTAGGGTTTTGGCCCCATTTTGGGCTTCTGCGGGGGCAGCGCTCATCGTCCTTCATAGCAGAATCATTGATTTTACGGAGGTTTTGGGCTCATTTTGTCCTTCTCAGGGGGCAGCGCTCATTTGCGCTTCTGAGGAGGTCGCAAGAGGCCCCAAGATGGCCCCAAGAGGCCCCCAGGAGGCTCCCAAGAGGCCTCCAAGAGGCCCCCAAGAGGCCCCCAAGAGGCCCCAAGAGGCCCCCAAGAGGCCCCCAAGAGCCCCCAAGAGGCCCCCAAGAGGCCCCCAAGAGGCCCCCAAGAGGCCCCAAGAGGCTCCAAGAGGCCCCCAAGAGGCCCCCAAGAGGCGAGGCCCCCAAGAGGCCCCACGAGGAGCCCGAACGACTCACACCAGGACGAGGGCCCGAACGACTCACACCACGAAGAGCCCGAACGACTCACACCACAAGGAGGGGCCCGAACGACTCACACCAGGACGAGGCGCCCGAACGACTCACACCACGAGGAGCCCGAACGACTCACACCACGACGCGGGCCCCGAACGACTCACACCACGAGGAGCCCGAACGAGTCACACCAGGAGGAGGGGCCCGAACGACTCACACCAGGACGAGGGGCCCGAACAACTCACACCACGAGAAGCCCGAACGACTCACACCAGGACGAAGAGCCCGAACGACTCACACCACGAAGAGCCCGAACGACTCACACCAGGAAGAAGGGCCCGAACGACTCACACCAGGACGAGCAACCCCAAACGACTCAAATCACGAGGAGCGCTTTCTCTTCCTCCTCCTCCGCCTCGTCCTTCTCCCGCTCCCCCCACAAGGAGGATGTACAAGGAGGCGGGAGGAAGGAAGAACAGGGGAGATATGCGGGGCCAAGCGGACACACGCCTGAAAAACATGACTGTCGGCATGCTTCGCAAGAGTTGCTGCTGTGAGATGGGCTGGTGGGGATACGCGAAGCGTAAAGAATTCTAGAATTTGGTTCTGCGTTCTAGAACTACTTTTGCTGTTCTAGAATTCGCTTTCCGGTTCTAGAATTTCGTTTTGCGTTCTAGAATTCGCTTCGTTTCTTTTAAACCGCCTCCGGCCGTTTGGCAGGAAACGCGTGGGAAAAACGGCGGGGGTCGGGATTCGGGGGCCCATTGCGGGGCGGCGGGGGTGGCCCCGAGTGGAGCCCCGAGCGGGCTTCGGAGGAACGTATGCGCACGTTTGCGGAGCCACCGTGCTCCAGCTTGGCGACATGGGGGATAGGGGCCTGAATTGAGAGAGGGCGACTCTAATTGAGGTGCCGGCGACGGCGTGGGCTTGGTCCAGGGCCGAGTGTATATGGATTCCAGAAAAGTGATGCTTCACCCCCCCGCTGCCATTAATGATAGGGGGGTGGAGGGGGACGGGGGGGGAGAGGGAGGCAGAGGAAAGGAATATGAGCCTTGGAGAAGGAGGAGGAGGTGCAGGAGAAGCCGGAGGCAACGGTGGGGGTGGAGGCGGATGCGGAGGAGGAAAGGACGGGGGAGAGGGGGTGGCGATGTCCTGGGCGAAGCGGCACTCCAGATTTCACTCTCTGCCCTCCGCCCAGAGAACACGCTGCTGCCCTCCCACCCCCGCTGCTGCGGCGCCGCCGCGCGTGCGGCCGCCGCAACGCCTCCGCCTCCGCCGGCGCAGCCGCGCCGGCCCCGCCGGCGGCCGCGACGGCGCGCCCGAGGCCGCCCGCAGCCCGCTCGGGGCCGGCGGGCTCGGCGGCGCTGGGCGCGCCGAGCGCGTGGAGCGCGCCCTGCTCCAGCGCGCGGGCGGCGCGCGCGGCGCCCGCCGCCGGCGCGAGCGCCCAGCAGCCGTGGGCCTCGGCGCGGCAAAGGCGGAGCAGCAGGCCCAGCTCCTCGGAACAGAGAGCAGGCATCGACCCAGATGGCCCCCATCGTTGCTACCAGGATCCCGGCGGGAGGTTTTCGGCGATTTTCGGCCTCTGGGGGCCCTCACTGGGCCCCGGGGCGGTCAGAAACCGGCTCAGGATGATAAGCTGGTCCTGGAGAAGGGGTCCAGGCCTCTGGGGTCCACGCTGCGAATAGGTCACGACGTCGGAGGTCTGGGGATACCGCTGCCTTTCGCAGTTCTGGCTCTTCTGGCCCTCCTTGTGGGATCGCACCGCGGGAGAGGCCTGGTCCAGTGTTCCACCAGGAGGAACGTGAAGGGCTCTTTGGGCGACGGCGAGCCTCGGCCACCACTGCCAACAGCTTCCCCGACCTCGGCCCGAAAGCTGGAGCCCCTCTTGAGCCCAACGCGATCTACGTTTCAGCGTCTTGACTGCGGCGGCACCGGCAAACGACAGCGGCAGGAGGTCCACCCGAGCAGCACGCACCGCAACGAGCTGAAGCGTGGACACGGCTCGAAGCCGACCGAGCAGCAGCAAAGGCAGATAGCAGAGTGGGCGCCCGCCGGACATTAACTGGCCGAGGTGAGGCCATGCCGCCTGTGATTGGCGGCATCGGTGCGTCCCTCTCTGGACCAGAAAACACACGACACCACCCCACCTGCGGCCCCACGGGCTTTGAGCATATACCATGGAGTCTGGCTTGGGCTTTGCGTGGCGTATACGCTGCGGCGCCCGATGGGCCGTAGCGCCACATGGAGGGCCGTAGGCGGGGTCGTGTCGTTTGTTCCCAACCATCCTGTGGTGTTGGGTCCTCGTTTTGAAGAGACGGTCCCCGCGTTCTCCCCTCCTCCTCTGCCCCCTCCTCCTCTCCACCGTCCGCATGCGTCCCGCACGCCCAGTACAGCGTTTCGTGGCCCTCCTCCCCTCCCAGCCCAGTACAGCGTTTCGTGGCCCCATAGGGAGCCCCACCGAAGGTCCCAGTGCTACCGTCCGCATGCGTCCCGCACGCCCAGTACAGCGTTTCGTGGCCCCATAGGGAGCTCCACCGAAGGTCCCAGCGCTACCGTCCGCATACGTCCCGCACGCCCAGTACAGCGTTTCGTGGCCCTCCTCCCCTTCTCCCTGCGTTTCACCCACCCAGTACAACGTCTCGTGGCCCCATAGGGAGCCCCACCGAAGGTCCCATTGCTACAGTCCGCATGCGTCCCGTACACTCAGTACAGCGTTTCGTGGCCCTCCTCCCCGTTCTCCCTGTGTTTCACCCACCCAGTACAACGTTTCGTGGCCCCATAGGGAGCCCCACCGAAGGTCCCAGTGCTACCGTCCGCATGCGTCCCGCACACCCAGTACAGCGTTTCGTGGCCCCATATGGAGCTCCACCGAAGGTCCCAGTGCTACTGTCCGCATGCGTATCGCACACCCAGTACAATGTTTCGTGGCCCTCCTCCCCCTCCTCCCTGCGTTGCACCCACCCAATACAACGTTTCGTGGCCCCATAGGGAGCCCCACCGAAGGTCCGAGTGCTACCGTCCGCATGCGTCCCGCACACTCAGTACAGCGTTTCGTGGCCCCATAGGGAGCTCCACCGAAGGTCCCAGTGTACCGTCCGCATGCGTCCCGCACACCCAGTACAATGTTTCGTGGCCCTCCTCCCCCTCCTCCATGCGTTGCACCCACCCAGTACAGCGTTTCGTGGCCCCATAGGGGGCCCCACCGAAGGTCCCAGCGCTACCGTCCGCACGCGTCCCGCACGCCCAGTACAGCGTTTCGTGGCCCCATAGGGAGCTCCACCGAAGGTCCCAGCGCTACCGTCCGCATGCGTCCCGCACACCCAGTACAGCATTTCGTGGCCCTCCTCCCCCTTCTCCCTGCGTTTCACCCATCCAGTACAACGTTTCGTGGCCCCATAGGGAGCCCCACCGAAGGTCCCAGTGCTACCGTCCGCATGCGTCCCGCACACCCTGTACAGCGTTTCGTGGCCCCATAGGGAGCCCCACCGAAGGTCCCAGTGCCCCCGTCAGCATGCGTCCCGAAGCCCAATTTGGCATTTGCACCCGTCCAGTGCAGCGTTTCGTGGCCCCATAAGGGGCTCCACCCA